GACCCACTTGAAACGGGGCCGGGTCGCGACCCACCAGTTGAGAACCACTGTCCTAGAGCACTATTGAGTTCTTTGTAACCAAATGTCTCTCAGAGGTAACAGACAGAGAATCAGCACTTTGGAAACAGGGCTGAAACAGAGGGGATTATGGGTAATGCTGCAATGATCTGTTTGGTGTTTCAGCCAATCAGAGACAGGCTCTGTATATATCTGAGACCTATGATATATTGATGAAGAAGAGGAGAATAGGTGACCTTTAAATTCAGTTTCCAGATGTACAAAGTGTGTCTTTGCTCTCAGTATTGTGCTTTCAGCGTCTCCGGAGTAGACCAACCTGCAGCGGACTGTGAGTTAGACCCTAACAACCAGTCTGCAGTGGTAAGCATTGTGATGTTATCACCTGGGAAAGACAGAATTACAGAGGGACACATGACAGTCTGCAGAGGTAAGCCTGTGTTTCCTGTTTGTGACTGCTTCACTAAACAAAGGCTCACATCTGTGCACAGGAGGTGGATCACCTGAGTAAATAACTATGTACAGTCGAGAGCTGATGCAAAACGCACTCATTTCCATGCCGAGGGCTTTGAATAATTACATGGGTGCTTAGATAAACAGCTAATAGTCGCTTCAAAACAAATCCAAGCTGCACTGGATCGTTTCAGCTGGGGTAGAAACATGAAGTGCATTCTCTACACTCACTTACTGCCTGTGTAATTATACAAAACTGCAAACAATATCATTCACTTTTGATGTATAGTCTATAAAATGACAGGAAATATCCATTTAAGTTTCTCAAAGTCGGAGAAAATGTCTTCTAAAGAGTTGTTTACCAATCTAGCACACACAGATATTCACTTTAACATGAAAATAACACAAAGGAAAGCAAGAAAATATCCATATTTCAGTCTAAAAACAGACAATTTGCAGCAGAGATTTGAATCAGAAATATTTAAAATTCGGTTTTGGTGACACTTCTTCCATTAACTTGCAAAGGCTGTGTTGCTTCAAATGCATGAACACTACACTGAGTTCCTTTAAGTTTAACATCTCAGTTTCACTCCGCTCTCAGGCCTTTTGAAATGTGGACTACAACAGAAGACTATGATGAAGAAGGTGAGTACAAATGGCGGCTCACATACCTTCAGTGCCATTGGGTGTCATGGAATTGTTATTGATGTGGGAGTTGTCGAGGTTGGGACCATTAGGAGATTCACTGCTTCCACTTACTCTGCTGTGAGGACTGGCTAGATCCTGCATTTCCATAGACCTGACGACACACACACACACACACACACACACACACACACACACACACACACACACACACACACACACACACACACACACACACACACACACACACACACACACACACACACACACACACCAAATCACACGCACACACACACACACACACACACACACACACACTTTCAAACACACACACACACACACACACACACACACACACACACACACACACACACACACACACACACACACACACCAAATCAAATTACACATTTCACTCTGGTTTCAGGGAAGACACGCAGCGCTGATGCACAACGCAGTGCAGGATTCAGTACAACGGATTTAAATAACTAAGTATACGAAAAATACGGAAAGACAGATAACACGAATATTATTAAAGAATGTATCTGTTAAATAATATTCTATTAAAAGTACATACTATAATAAGGTAACCTTGCATTTTCTATTATTACCTTAATGTCAGCTAATGATGTGTTTATGTCGTGCTAAGAACCACGACTAAAACAGATAATTACAAAAAACTACAGAAAAAGATTATAAAAAACAACAAAAGTAATAGAAGAAAATATAAAAATATTCCATTTAAACTGCATTTAAAATCCACAATTCACCCCAATTTTAGTAAAGATGAATTTTTAAATAAGGGCTTTTTTATGGGATTACAATGTCTAAGACTGGATCAGAGAAATACCCCCCAAAAGAGCCTAAAATATTCCATTCAAAGTCCATTTAAAATCCACAATTCACCACAATTTGACTAAAGATTAAATAAAGTCCTTGCACAGGTTTTATTTTAAGTAAGGACTTCCTATATGTGATGCCAAGGCCAGGTATTGCTATTAAAAAAGATTACATAAGAAACATTTAAAATCAATTGCAATTTCACTAACAAGAAAATAGAATCCCTGCACTTTGTGTTTTTAAATAACGACTATTTTACGTGATGCAAATGCCACATACATATATGAAAATGCAGAATGTGACACACTCTCTCATGCACACAGAGAAACCAAAGGAAGCTCTGAAACCGACAGTAAACATGTTGACACGGCAGAGACACATTTCTCTCGTTACAGCATCTCACTGCGAGTGTTTACTGTGGACTTCCTGCGTGTATCTCCGAGCACAGAGTGTGTTTTCGCTGTGTGTGGCAGCAGACTGCTAACAGATGTCTGCTGGTTTGAGGCGATGTGAAAGTGCTGCTGATTGTCAGGGCCCATGCCTCAGTGATGGGCAGATGCGGAGCTCATGAGGCAAAATGAGGCATGTGTTTGCTCTGGCACGCTCCTTAATTGTTTCTGTGTTTATACAGAACAACCACGCCACTGAAAACATTATTCTATCTCCCCGTTCGGAGGATTTGATCGAGTGTAGACAAAGGAGGAGGCCCGAGTGATTGGGAAAGTACGGCCACCGCTCCCATTGTGCCTTAATGAAATTAGGACGAGATGTTTGGTACATTACGCTGCCATTTACAATTATATTCCCTGGCTCCGGGTATCTCTGCTATCGACAAACATCGGCCTTCTGCCCAGAGCTGAAGGAACTCTGAGTGCTCTCAGATGGCACCAAGAAAGCAGAATTATGCCCGAAAAAGATTAAATCATGATATGCATTTAGTCTATTTAAGATTATGTTGTGGTATTGTGATACTCGGCAGTATAGCTTGGCAAATTCTGCGTCTTGTGGTTCAAGAGGAATTTAATTATTAATGGAAAATAGTCTATGTATAAGCATTATTTTTAATAATTATAAAAAGCCACAAAAGGCTGCATGGAAGCTGCTTTCTGCTTCTCTCAGAGGTATATTAATTTAACTCAAAATATCACACAAACCAAACATTCAACACCACAGACGTACAAATGAAATGAAATGAAAGACCGGGGACATTTCTGCATTTCACACTCACTCCTGCTTCGCTCAAACTTTTTAAAATCTCATTTAAAAAGTCCTCACTATCTCCGGTCAGACACCACAGTGTGCTGACAGAAAGCACACAGTCTCCATTATAATATGCATTTAAATATGATGTTATAATGTTAAGAAATTATACAAACGACTCGTGGTTCAAGACAATTTAAATATTAAAGGGGAAAAGCATAATATCGCACACAAAGAGTCACACCAAAAAGTCAGCCATTATAAGAAAAGACACGGCACGAAATGCAACATGAGACCTGCTTTGTCTTCTTCTAATATCACACCAACCAAAGACGTAGCAACTAAATGACTTGTGGGTCAAGACAATTACATTATTATAGGAGAAAGCATATTGAACACAAGAGTCCCACAAAAAATCTGTCATTATAAGAAAAGAAACGGCACTTAATGCTTTTTCGTTTTCCACAACATTAATTCACTTCCTCTCTTATAACATCAACCAACCAAAGAAATTAAACTCACTTCTGATGTGTCCTCCTGCTCTGCACAAACTTTCCCCCCCATTTGAAGAAGTCCACTCCACTCTCTGCGATCAGACGGCTCTGAGAGAGACTGACAGTTGTTCAGCAGAAAGGAAATCTGTGATGCTCCTGGCAGCGGGTCAACTCTGCTCTTACCTGGAGTCCCAGAAGCACACAAAAGCACACTCCCTTCTTCCTCCCTTCCTCCGTCCTGCCTCCACCTGCCCGCCCCAAACAAAGTCCGTCCTTGTTACTGCAGCCCGGTGTCACAGCACACAGCCATCCATGACACAAAAAGGCTTGTCTGAGAAAACATTATTGTTGTTCTGCAGCCGAGGAGAGGAACAGAGGCGCACATTGTGTCTCGCTGCCTGTTGTTTCCTCCTCCCTGAGCCGAATGACGGAAAGGTGATTCATCATTGCTCTACGACAGCTGCAAACTGGATTAGCTTTCCTCCCCCAATCAACATGCAAAGCGGCTTATCCAAGGTAAGCAGGAAGGGGGTGAGGAGGGGGGAGTTAAGGTGGGTAGAGGGGTGCGGAAAAAAGAAAAATGAAGATGGGACTTGTTGAGAAAAGACAAGTCAAGCGTGACAAACCCCAGCATCCTCAGCACATCTTTCATATGCAATTGACACTATCTGAATTTTATCAGCACCCCCCTCCCTCGGGATACTGACAGGTCCTAATGAGCGTCAGGGCCTGGGGGCCACCACACACACACACACACACACACACACACACACACACACACACACACACACACACACACACACACACACCAAAGAACAATGCACTCACACATTAAATATAAATCTCCTCTCTTTCTGTCTGTTTTTTTATGTCTTGTTCTGCAGCACATATAACTCATGTCTTCACACACACACACACACACACACACACACACACACACACACACACACACACACACACACACACACACACACACACACACACACACACACACACAGGGCACTTTAGAGGCCCCCAGATCAGTGGTGCATCTCAGACAGTGAAGGAGACTGGAGACCACGCAGAGCATATGGAGCCACATATGTTTCCTATGACGCTGCGAATGCCTCTATTACTCTCTTTAGCTGACAGTTACATTGTGCTGTCCGCTCCAAACATCAAGCGGGGCCGTATACATGCCCCGCTATAACACTATATTACAGCTGACTCCACCACCGCGGGGACGCCGGGGCCACGAAAGGTCAAAGGTATTACACTGGTCAGGAAAAAGGCGGATAAAGTCTTTATTTTACTAAAAAAGTCCTCGCATGATTTTTGAATGGCCGACTGTTTACATGAGCCGGGGTAACCTGAGCTTTCTTCTTCTTCACACCATGAATACCATTCCAGCTTTCTCTCTCCCACTGCTAACAGCCATCTTAGCAGAAAATAAACCATTACACATGAACTCGAGTGCCTCCTCCTGGCATCTCCAAACGCCCAGAAACACGCAGGGGACCACGTGAAAAGAGAAGAAAGTCCACGGAGGTAAAAGCCATACAGAGGAAAGAGAAACACATTCTGCCACAGCACATTAACAGCGATCACAGGGAGTGTGTTGTGGTGGCGAGATGTGGTGTGTGTGTGTGTGTGTGTGTGTGTGTGTGTGTGTGTGTGTGTGTGTGTGTGTGTGTGTGTGTGTGTGGTTTCTCTGCAGGCCAGCGAAGCCATTAGCATGCTGGTGTCTGAGCCATTGGCAGCAGGTGAAAGCAGCCAGGTGAAGAGAGGGGGGAGGAAGGGGGGGTTTGAAAACCTTTCTTCTGCACCGCTAAATATTTATTGTTTAAAAAAAAAGAAGAAGTCTGCATTGAGCATCTTTTGATGTGCGTCTTCAACTCAACCTGAACTGCCAGCTCTTTGAAGCTAACGGAACAAAGCGGAAAGTGGAGATGAAGCGCTGGAAGTGTCATCAGAGAAGAAGAAGCAGAAGAACACGCTTCACCTCTCGGCTGTTTGCTGTTTGGCTTTGCTTGTTTCCAGACCTGCGTCTCCGAAGGTAAACACAGACTCAGAATACCATCATGTCAGCATGGAGGCAGCGTGACCCGGGACACATCGCTGCTCCACCTCCTGTAGTTATATTCAGCAAAGAGTTACCCCGTCACCTGCACACTTTACGGACTTTCACGTGTTCAAGGTCAATTCAATTCAAGGCTTTTATTCTCATTGCACAGAAGCTACAGTGTAGATATGGCAATTCAAAATGTAGGCTCCTCCAACAGTGCAACATATATAGGACAAAGAACAAATCTATAGATGCAAGAAGAGTCTATAGATGCTATAGATAGTTTACAGTCCTTTTAATGGTGCAATCTGCTCACTTCCAGTATGTTTAAGTTACCATGCCTTTCCTCAGTGTCATCCTTATTGGATATGACTTCACAGCCCTTTTGATTTTACAGCCTGTGTTGCGAGTCTTTTTTTCTGCAAGACAATGCTTTAATCAAAATGTAACTTTAAAACAACTAATCCCCACTTAAGCTGGTCAGCTGAATCCACATGGTGGCCCAGGGAAAATAAATCCGCTCTCAAAGAATGTAGATGCAGACAACAATTGGACACAGATGTGAGGGGGGGGGGGAATTAGCCGCCATTTACAAAATGCTACACTTCACTGCTGTCTCCGTACGTCTGCCAGCGAACGCAGCGTTAAATAACGCCGTGCTTTTTAAATCCTCAGAGGAAAAGTATTTCAGATAAGAGAGAGATTTCATAATTTAAATTAAATGGATTTTTTATTATTTAGTGGTGCAGTTTTTAACAATTTTTCTAAATTCACAGAGACAGATAATAGCAAAACGATTTATTTAGATATCTCTTTACACATTATTATTTATTTATTTTTCTTTAATTTCTTATACTTTTCACTGCTCTGTACTTTTTTTAAATTGTATTAATTTTAATTTATTTATAATGTATTTTTTAAACCGATGACAAATAATTGTATAATGCAGTGCTCTGTATGTTCTAATGCATTGTTCTTATTTCTTATAATAAGCACACAGTCATTCACACCTAATTTAAAATTATAATAATTAAAAGCGTAATTATTCACACATGTGCAATTTGTCTCTCTCATTCGCTTCAATCTGACACGGTGCTCCAGCAATTCACTCAATAGCGACGTTAAATCTGTTAATACTGTGCTCTTCAACCTCCCAAATGATTTCCAGAAGGCCGGCGAGGGGCCATCAAACAAGATTTAAGGTGCACTTTTTATAATATGCTGCCTTTCAGCGTGACCACCGCACAGCCAGGGAGGACTTACAGGAGAAGACGCATTATTTCACTCAAATCTGACCCTTATTATCTCCCTGATCTCATATATTAATGACATTATTATCCGTGGACCAGGAAGCAGACTTTTCTAATTCAATTGCAGTTTCCACAGTTTCACAAATGTTCCTCTCCAGACACTCTGAGCTCGGCGGCTTCCTCATTATCTGTCACAACGTAAACACTTTACAACAATCACACAAGTGGCTATTACTGATTGAAATCTTTAGAGCTCATTTCCTGCCCTTAGACACACGGCACATGCAAACAGCGGTGTGTTCGAGGAATAGCAGCCCGCAGTATTTAGTAAACAGCCGCTGCCCACTAATCACACAGAGCGGATACTTAATGGGAGTTTCCTCCGTGTTCCTCGGATCAATCAGCCCTCTGTGTCTCTCAGCGTTTCAAAAAAAAAGAGGAAGACGGACACTTCTCCACGGAGAGAAGCATCAGGCCTCGGGCAAACAATGGCTCCTACACACACACACACACACATTGCTACTACACACACATCGTAAAGCAAATACAGCGAGCAAACAGCCACAAATCAGCCGCCTCATTATCTGCTAATTGGATAAATAAGGTTATTGTGTGAGTGAATGGCTGCAGCACACACACACACACACACACACACACTGTGATGTTTGTCTGAGCCGAGCCTAACCTCTCTTTCATCCACACACACACACACACACACACACACACACACACACACACACACACACACACACAAAAACACACACACACCTCTTTTCTAAACAGCAGGGAATTACAGGATGGAGAAATAGATTTAAAAGGGGATAATTCAACCGACTTGTGATCATACATTAAACCAGAACAAGCTTTAATTAGAGGCGTCTGTTTTATTGTGTAGCCCCGTTGGAGGAGCCTCAGATGTTCATTGATATATCTACACTGCAGCTCTGTACACAGGACAATAAAAGCCTTCTTGAATCGTGTGATTTGAGCGTATAGCAGCGAGGAAAAGAGACGCAGCGGCCGGAGACGAGGCCTGATCTGGGGTCAGATTCTGGAGCCTCTCAGCATTCCTGCCTCAGCAGATGGCATCGGACGTCAAAAGCTCAGAGAGCCGTGGTGTTTGTTCTGTCAGAGAGAAGCTCCTGCCTGTTCCAGAGCACCGGGGAACATGTGAACCGCGCCGAGGAAGCGGAGGATCACCTCGTAGTTAAATAAAAGGAAGTCGGATGCATTTCTGACGGGAAAGGACACCCGTAAGCTCGGTAGATAAGTTGTTTTGCAACGTAGAGAGGGATTTTTTATTATAAAAGGGGGTTTTTAGGTTGTAAAGACTGTATTTATAATTACACATTGGAGTGTTACATTTCTAAAGGTGTATGCATGACAATAAATGAATGTATAAGCCATTTAGCAATTATCAAACACACTACAAATTGTTATTTAATTGACATTACATTTTGTATTTTTTTGACTTTTACTTTAATTATCAAAACATTAAGAGCAATTTCTTTCTTTAAATACTATTTATCTATCATTTGAAATGAATTAAAGCATATTAAAGCTTTCCTCTTTGGTTATTATTATTACCATTATTACATGTATTACTATATTTAAGGTAAAGTAGTTCCTTCTTTCTGATCATAACAATTAATAAAAGGTGTTCCTGCTCTGTGGATATGAACGCTTCAATAAAAAGTGTATTAATACGGATGCACATGTACTGAATAAAAGCAGATAATACCACACACACACACACACACACACACACACACACACACACACACACACACACACACACACACACACACACTCCCCCTTTCTCTTTTTGTTTTGCTTTTTTACCCACATTCAGAGGTGCAAGAAGTTCTCAGATCTTGTACTTGAGTAAAAGTAGAAATACTCAGATCTTGTACTTGAGTAAAAGTAGAAGTACTCAGA